GCGGAGCGGCGGCAGCAGCAGCTGACGTGCGGGGCTGGGGATAGCCCCGAGCCCAGCTCCCGCCGCGGAGACAAGCGATGAGTCCGGCCTTGATCTGGTTCGCTCACCCCTCCCGAGAGCCCAGCAGGGCCTGGGCCCCCCCGCCGTGCTCTGCATCGGGCTACGGCAGCAGCGCCTCGCACCACATGTGCGCACCTCTTCGTGTGGCAATACCGTCCTTCCTAACCCAGCTTTTCTCTCTAATAGCCTGGCCAAGTACAGCCTTTGTGCATTTACGTGCTTATCGCAGTGTTCCTCGATCTTCGGTATCAGAGGGGTAGGGAGCATAAGCTTTCGTGGGCAAAGACCCACTTCGTCAGATGAAGTGGGTCTTTGCCCACGAAAGCTTATGCTCCACCACTTCTGTTAGTCTATAAGGTGCCACAGGACTCCTCATCGATCTTCAGTGTATGTACTAGGGATGTGAAACTATAACTGAGTACACTCATCCTGCCAGAGCTGGGGCTGCCCCTGGCTCCTTGTGCCAGGGTTGCAGTTTTCTTTAAAACTTGGTAGCAAACACCTGCCATATAATACTACGTGTATTTAATTTTAAATTAATATCTGATAATGACTTAAATTAATAGCTGATAGTAAGTAAGAGCCTCAATTTCTGTTCAAAACAAAAAGCTTCATAAATATTAGAGTATGATTCTGGAGAAAGGAGACAATTAAACACTGCCATAAAAACTTTGGAATGCACAACCTAAGGGTCTATAAACTATTCTGACACAAGTCTTTGGCTACGTCTAGACTGGCATGATTTTCCGGAAATGCTTTTAACGGAAAAGTTTTCTGTTAAAAGCATTTTCGGAAAAGCGCGTCTAGATTGGCAGGACGCTTTTCCGCAAAAGCACTTTTTGTGGAAAAGTGTCCGTGGCCAATCTAGATGTGCTTTTCTGCAAAAAAGCCCCGATTGCCATTTTCGCAATTGGGGCTTTTTTGCAGAAAACAACTCTCTGCTGTCCCTTTTGCGCAAAAGTTTTTCGGAAAAAGACTTTTGCCCAAACGGGAGCAGCATAGTATTTCCACAAAAGCACTGACAATCTTACATGAGATCGTCAGTGTTTTTGCAGAAATTGAAGCGGCCAGTGTAGACATCTGGCAAGTTTTTCCACAAAAGCAGATGATTTTGTGGAAAACCTTGCCAGTCTAGACACAGCCTTTATGTAGTTCTCTCTCTTTTTATTAAACTGTGCCATCTTCATTTTTGCGCTCTCTAGTCATTTTAAATAAGATGGTAAATTAAATTAATATGACAAAGAATCAAATGACTGCAGTTTACAATCATGGGGACTTGCTTTAAAAATGCTTGCAATTCTTTTGGCCTCACATGAACACAGAATATTTATTAGAAAGTTGTAATCTATGTAATGTGTGCTATTTAGTGGTGCAAGAGAAAATTACTTAAGCAAAAAGTTCAAATGCTGATTTAAAAACCCCACAGTATGTGTAAATTATTGCCACAATAATTTTTTGTAATACAAACAATTATAAATGGTTGATTTAATTTCTGGCCAGACAGTGAAGTGTGGGGATTCTTACTTTAGAAACTTAACTGGCTAGATCATTGATACCTTAACTGCAAACATTGATACCTATGCTTTAACTTTTTCAGGTAAGTAGAGCTAAGCATGTGTGAATATTTTCAGATTGGTACCCAGTTGTTTCTAGAACATAGAAAGTTAAATTTAAGGAAACCAACACTGTTTGCTCAGAACTGCTGTTTCCTATTTCTGGTCTGTCAATTTGAGATTTTATCTTTTAAAACTCCTTCATATACGTTTCACAGTCTTATACTACTTTGCAAATGAAATTTTCAATAAAAAGATGCTATCTGATAACAGGTATTGTTGTTTATACTGTATTTGAGTTTTTTTACTCTGCTCTAATTTAGATTATGTGGATAAGCCCCTGGAAAAGCCCTTGAAGCTGGTGCTTAAAGTTGGAGGAAGTGAGGTCACTGAACTGTCAGGATCAGGGCATGATTCAAGTTATTATGATGACAGGTCAGATCATGAGCGAGAACGTCACAAAGAAAAGAAGAAGAAAAAGAAGAAAAAGTCTGAGAAAGAAAAGCATCTTGATGACGAAGAGAGAAGGAAGAGAAAGGTAAACATATTCTTTTTGTATTTGCTTGTCATATCTGAAAAGTGTGTCTTTTCCATTTAAATGCACATTTGTTTTAAAATTCATTTCACTGAGCGCCATAACTAAAACATAGCAGTATTATTTCTTTCCACCACATCTAATCCTGTGAGGGTACTTTTGGTACATATTCATCTTTGGGGAAAAAAGCTTACTTTTTTGTTTCATGAATAAGTTTTCTGTCCTCTATGTTGGATGACTTAATTGCATGTGGGACTGTCTCTGAAGATTGCTTTGGTGCAGAATAAGACAACCTTCTTGCTTTGCCAAGTGTTATGCTGGATTGCTTGTTACTTGACTGTTATATATCACATCGTCGTCTTGTTAACATCGGATGACAATTCAGAATGTTTATAGACCTATAGGGCCCTATATGTGGCTTTTACAGAATTCAGTAATTTTGTTACATAATACCAATTTATTTTTTCAGTTTTTATTAATTTACATTTTTACGCTTATAGAAAATTATGGCTGGGGTCAGACTAATGACAGTTAAAACTTTATGGACTGTTAAGACAGATTGTCAACATGTTAATATATGAACTAAATAGCTATATTAGAGTTTGATTTAAGTACTTAGGCAGAATTTTTCTTTTTGTACATTTCAGTTATTTTAGGGGTTTGTTGGGTTGGGTGCTAGTGACTGCTGATGTTTCAGTTCTTGGACAAAATATGTGGGGTGGGCAACTAATAGTTCTTTGGTTTAATTACCTGGGAGTCTCTGTAAGGGTATGTTAATGTTTCCTGAGATGACAGGAATAGTTATTTTCCTACAGTTTGTGAAATGTCTTTATGCTCCTCACATACATTTAAGTATTCATATGATCAGGGGTCGACAAATTATGGAAAACCCTACTCCCCAGACAAAAAAGGGACTCACCACCCTCCCCCACAAAAAAGTGTTTTTTTAATGGCATAAATTTCTAATAAGAATAAGCACAGTAATTACTAATAAGTTTATTAATAAATATCACCCAGGTTATTAATAAATATCTTATAAACCTCTACCTTTTCTCTCTGCTGCCATGTCTCCTCCCCTTGCTCCATCAGCTCCCCTGGTGCCTGCTGCCCCCCAACACCTCACCCTCTGCAGTCCTGACTCCTGCCCTTCTCACTGCCCTCAGCCTTCCTGAGACCTCCCCCCTCCACCAGCCCTTCTCTCCGCCCTGTGCCCACTCCTCCAGTAGCTCCACTCTGATCATGTGAGCTACCCCTCCTCGTCCCCGCTCCTAACACCTCCCTCTACACACCTACCCTGCCTCTCTCCTCTGGTGCTGGTCCCTCCCCTGCAGGTGTCTGCCCTTCTGCTTCACCCCCAGAATCCCTTGGCACCTGCATCCTCCTGGTGCCTCCCCCTTCGCTCTCTGCCCCTGCCCCCTTTGCTTTCTTTTTCCCTGATACCCACCCCCTCACTACCCTCTGCCCCCATTTCCCTCATGCCTCTGTGCCCTCACAGATGCCTTGCTCCATCCCCACCTTCCTCATGCCCACCCCTTCTTTCAAGCCTTCTCCCAGCACTTCCCCCTCCCTCTCCCCCTCTAGTCCCCAGTTCCCTTACCCGTTCCTCTCCCAGCATCACCCTGTCCTCCCTCCCACTGACACCTCCCCTCCTGCCCTTTTCCTCATTGTCTGCACTTGGCCCCCTGGAATTTGTCTCTCCTGCACCCCTGTCCCTTGGTGCCTTCCCCTTTCTTCTTCTTCTTCTCCTGACCTCCTCCCGTCAGCACAAGCCCCTTCCCCATATTTTTCCCCTCCCCACAGCCCAGCCTAGCCCCTTCCCCTCCCCAGGGGCCAGCTCTAGGTTTTTTGCTGCCCCAAGCAAAACATCCCCCCCCTTGTTGTCTTTTACATGTTTGCATTTTGCAATGGGGTTTTTTTTGTTTGTTTTCTTTTTTGTCCTGGCATTTTAGCCCTATGAATAATAAATAGCATTTTCATTCGTTTTTTTCCATAAAGGCAGAGGCGCTTCAAGTGAACTCCCCCTTTCACTTGCTGCTGGGTCACAGCAGCCTTTTCCCTGCCCTGTCCAGCCCCTCCCTATGATCAAGCACCCTTCACTCCCGACCCACAGGGAGAGCAGGGTGCAGGGACAGCACAGAGCCAGAGGGGTGCAGGGAACAGTGAGGGAGTACGGGGGTGGCGCGGGGAACGGGAGGCACAGAGCCAGAGGGATGATGGGATCGGGGGTAGCAGGGTGCGGTGGAGGCACGAGGAATGGGACGTGGGGAACGGGAGGGACAGGGATCGGGGTCTAGGGGCAGTACAGGGAACGGGCAGCACAGAGCTGGGGGGGCAGGGATCGGGGAGGAGCAGGGTGCGGGGGTGCGTTGGAGACACAGAGAATGGGACGCGGGTAACAGGAGAGGCAGAGGGATCGGGGTCTAGCGGCAGTGCAGGGAATGAGCAGCACAGAGCTGGGGGTGCAGAGATCGGGGGGAGCAGGGTGCGGGGTGTAAGGGCGGCGCAGAGCCAAAGGGTTGCAGGGAAGAGGGAGTGCAGGGAGTCCGGGGTGCAGGGGAGGCGCGGGGAACGGGCAGCATGGAGACAAAGGGGGCTGGGGCCGTGACAGGACTGGAGCCGGCGGGGGGGGCCCTGGGTGGCCAGCTCCCAGGGACACGCGGCCAGAGCTGAGCTGCCTCGGCCCTTTAAAATCAGCGGGGCCAGGTCACACCAGCATCCTGGCGTCCCGCCCCGCCTCCTCGCACTGGAGCTGCACGCAGGCAGCCCGGTGGGAAGAATCGCCGCACTTCTCCCTTCCCAGCTGCGCTGTGCTCCTCCGCCGGCTGGCAGATCGGATGGGGCCGTGCTACCCATAGTGCAGGCTTCGGCCAGCCCGTCACAACAGCCCACCGGGCCAGTCCACCCCTGCACTTGCCAGCTGGAAAAACCTACTCGCCACAGGCGAGCGGGTGAGTGCATTTGTTGAGCCCTGCATATGATAATTTGCAGAACAATGTACTAAATGATTTTATTATAAATCTTTTACATTTATCAGTCTCCATGATGGTGTGTCTTCATTTGAAAATGTTGCAGTTTTAAAATCTGATGTGTGTCATCTCGTTGGTTTTATGACAATGAGAAGGGGAGAGTCCCAGCTTTAGGTATATAAACATCTTTAGGTATAGAAAATCTATTTTAGAACATGTTTAAAGGGTTCTCTAGTCTCTTTGAGATATGCGCAGATGCCCTTGATAACTAAGGTGGTTGGTCCTTTACTGAAAGGAGAGGGGTTTGTTTTGATAGCCTTATAACATTTTGTAATATGCCCTAAAATAGTGCTTATATAATGTACATAAAGTTCATGGTTTGGTGTGAAACGGGAAACCCTCGCCATTCACAGTGAATGTATCCCTGGCACCACTACAAACAACAGAATTTGAGAGTACTGGGAGATGTAGCTCCCCATGGCTTCTGAACTCACTGCTGGGAACTCACTGCAGCTCTCAGAAGCTGTGGGGAACTCACCACCACTCCGGGCAGCCATGGGAAACTCGCCTTCCCTCTCCCCTCCCAAGATGGGACAGGAGACCCCCCCCCCCCCACAAATCACTAGGGTCTTCTGCATAAACACTTTATTGGCCCTCATTTGCAATAACCTTCATTTCTCACTTATTTCTTTGCTATTTGTAAATGACATGGCTTTCCCAGACTTGCGCTACTGAAAGCTGTAGATGTTGGAAAAGATCAGACTGTCCTATATACCATTACAGGCATGCAGTTAGTGACATCAGGTGCAATAGAGACTTGCAAGAGAAGATCTGTCAAATATCTCCAATCTTGCAATGTATTTGTAGTTGCTCTACTGCAGAGTTTGAGTCTTCTATGTACTACATAATATAGTTAGTGTGCAGTGAACTGTGTTAACTGAAACATGCAAAGCTACAGGCTTCATGCTTCATTTTAGTTACTATGAATGAGATATCACAGCTCACCAGTTAAGCCTGGTATTGCTTGGATACTTAGTACCATTTTTAAATTTGGTACTGAATGTCTGAATCTGAATTGCCCTTTGTGTATATATCTATTTCCTCCACTTGCAATATTAGGAAGAAAAGAAGAGAAAGAGGGAGAAAGAGCAGTGTGACACTGAAGGAGAAACAGATGACTTTGATCCTGGGAAAAAAGTGGAAGTTGAGCCACCTCCAGATCGTCCAGTCAGAGCTTGCAGAACTCAGCCAGGTAAGTAACAAAGACTAGATAGGAAGCATGGTACATTTAAATTTCCTAGGATGTTCTTTAAATTTTTTCATAAATGAGTGTTAAGATAGTACTTCTGATAATATACTGAAGTATTAAGCCTGGGGTGGCCAAACTGTTACAAAAAGCCAAAGTAGCTGTGCATATAGCACAAAGAGCTGAGGGGAGGAGTTGTCGAGCCAAAAAAAAAAAAACAAGCCTGAGCCGCATTTGGTTGTGGGGGGGCTCACTGCCCCTTTAAAAAAGCCTTAGGTTGGCTTTTTGGTCACATCAGGCTCCCATCGGCCGGTGCCATTTTGCTTTGCCACGCTGGATGGCTCCCCAGCACCTGGTGAGCTCAGAGGGCTGGGGGCCATTTCTAGGGGCTCAGGGCTGGCTTTGCAAGCCACAGGGGAGGCTTTGCAAGCTGCACTTTAAGGGGGGAAGAACCGCATGCGAGTCACGGGTTAGCCATGGCTGTATTAAGCTTTCAAACATTATGAGGAGTTTTCTGTGGAAATGCCTGAATTTCAGCAAACTTCTCCAGGCTGGGAAGAAATTGTATTACAATTAGTTATGCCTCTTAATGCCTTTTGGGGCTTGATGGGTACCTTCCCAGGTGCCGGTTTAAAAAGTTTCTTTAGTTGTATCTTTTCAAGTTTATTTCCCTATTTGAAATATAAATAAGGATATTTATGCATCATTTCTGTATTGCGGTTTGCTGTATGTGTACCAGAATATGATGAACTTCAGCTAAATGTAATTATTTTGATTGAACATGTAAAGGGCACCTGTGCATTTCTACAGCTTCCTGACATGACATTAAAATATCACCTATAATAAAATGCAGAAAGAAGCAAAGGAGCAACAGACCCCACACCAAAATTAGTTAGCAGAAAACATAACAAAATCCCTGTCCTTTAGGTTTCCCCAAGTCACTTTTCCACTTCTATGTCATAGCCTTCCCTCAATGTCCTTTGCAAAAATTGGCCTTTGCAGTGTGCCCTAAGCGTCAGAAAATTCACACCATTTTGAACCAGTTCAGGAGGAAATTCACAGCAAGGAGCTCTCTTTTCTAAACTGTCAATCTTCAGTTTAGGCACCTACCTGACGCTATTTGTGGAAAGTTCTTAGATACACGTTCTAAGTCATTAAATGGCTAGGCTTGGCTTATAGCACTTTAAAACTTTTCAGGTGCCAACAGGCAGTTAGTGCTTGTACCTGTAATATATGTGTTTATCCTTTCTCACTTTACAAATTCCATTGGACTCTAATGATTAGAGCCTAGAACCATCGCTCAATAATAAATTTCAATAACTTTTCTAAGCCATTGTTTCTTTGGTGTGTGGTTGTTTTTTTTATGCATTCTTATTTCAGTCTTTGAAATCCTTTACTAACAGGACAAAGGAATCTCACTCCTCAATATGCTGTTAACTTGGCTTAGGGCTGCTTCCTTGAATGGTACTTCAGTAAGGGTACATCTACGCAGCAACTTTATTTTGAAATAACTTAGTCCGTGTCTGCACAGCAGGCAGTTATTTCAAAATAATGTCAAAATACTGTCAAGATGGAGGACTTCTTACTTTGACTCCTGCAACCCTCATTGTACAAGGAGAAAGGGAAGTCAGAGGAAGAGTGCTTTATTTCAAAATAAGTGCTGTGTAGACGCTCCCAGTTTTGGAATAAGATATTTTGAAATAAGATACGCCATTTGCATAGCTTATTTCGAGTTAAGCTCTGCTGTGTAGATGCACCCTAAATGTCTAGTGAAAATCTGGACCTGTATGAAAATTAATAGGTTTCATTTCAGTCTTCATAAATTTAGAAGTATGTTCCCAGTATGAGAACCATGTTACCAACTGAGCAAATCAATCCTGAGGAATTTGCGGATTAGAGTTGCTCCCTAAATTGTGTAGTTAGGATGGGCCATAATCCTACAGGTAATTAATATTTACTATCTCTGAAAACACTGGGGCATGGAAAGCTTGTCATATTTGAAACAGATGACTGTTCCATTTGGGCTTTAATCTGCTTAATGAGATATTTCAAAATATTGCTTGTTTAATTCAGCTGCTAAATTTGTGCATTCTCCTTGAAGTGCACAACTGGTAAGGGACCAGTGTGCACTTCATAGATTCATCTGTGCAATAGTTAATATACACTGGTGTTTCTAGCATCTGTGTTTGTTCTTTGTCTTTACATTTTTTTAAAATAACCCAAAACTTAGGAAAAGTGAAAGTAAAAAAATTTTGTAAATGGAATACAGGCAGTCCCCGACTTACGCGGATCCAACTTATGTCGGATCCGCACTTACGAACGGGGCTTTCTCGCCCTGGAGCTCACAGGCAGCGGTCAGCCACCTCGACCTCCAGGGCGAGAAAAGCTGCTCCTGGTGCCCCTGGTCTGCTGGGGACCGTCTCCAGCAGACCAGGGGCATCGGGAGCAAAGCCGCAGCCCCGGCGGGTTCCCGCGCTTCTGAGGCTTTGCCAGAGCAAAGCCTCAGAAGCGGGGGGACACGGCGCCCGCG